GCATCTCACTTCCTGACCCCAAAATATATTACAAAGTTGTGATAATCAAAACAACATTGGCACAAAAAAAGACATGAGAACCAATGGAACAGAGTAGAGACCCCAGAAATAAATTCCAAAACATACAGTCAACTGACCTTTGACAAAGGGTACCAGTTAATCCACTGGGAAAAGGAAAGCTTCTTTAGCAAATGGTGCTGGAAAAACTGGGTATCCATCTGCAAAAAAGATGAATCTGAACCCCTATTTATCACCATTAACAAAAATCAACTCAAAGTGGATCAAAGATCTAAACCTAAGACCTCAAACTATAAAACTACTGGTGGAAAACACTGGGGAAACTCTGGGAGACATTGGAATAGGCAAAGCCTTCTTAAGCAAGATCCCCAAAGCACAGGCATTAATCCCCAAAATAGACAGGTGGGATTACATCAGATTAAGAAGTTTCTGCACAGCAAAGGACACAGTAATTAATGTGAATCAAGAACCCTAGGAATGGGAGAGAATTTTTGTTAACTGTGCTTCAGATAAACGACTGATAACCAGAATACACAGGGAACTCAAGCAGCTTACTCGGACAAAAAGAATTAACCCAATTAAAAGATGGGGAAAATGAGCCGAATAAACAACTCTCTAAGAAAAGACATACAAACATCCAAAAAGCATATGAAAAAAATGTTCAACATTCCTCATCATAATTGAGATGCAGATCAAAACCACCATGAGATATCACCTAGCTCCAGTCAGAATGGCAAAGATTAAAAACAAAAAAAAAAAATTATAGTACTGGAGGAGATGTGGTGAAAGGGTAACACTCCTACATTGTTTGTGGGATTGTAAATTGGCCCAGCTGCTATGGAAAATAATATGGAGGTTCCTCAAAGACCTTCAAATAGAACTACCATAGGATCCAGCAATTTCACTCCTGGGTATCTACCCAAAGGACAGGAGAACACTCAGTCGGAAAAGCACTTGCATAGTTATATTTATTGCAGCTTTATTCACGATTGCTAAGACATGGAACCAACCCAAATGTCCACAAACAGATGAATGGATTGAAAAAGTGTGGCACATATACTCTATGTAATACTACTTGACCATAGAAAACAACAAGACCCTGGCATTGGATAGAAAGTGGTTGAATATGGGAGATTTATTGCTTAGTGAAGCAAGCCAGGCTATGAAAGAAAGACATTGTATGTTTCCATATATATTGACTGTCCACACTCTATGGTAGAGACTGAAGATTGGAGGACATAAAAGCATTGAAAATAGTTATATACACTGGAGACAGTGTGCAAGGAGGATGGGAGAGGGGACGAGTATGTGGAAGGACATTAGGAAAAGAAAATAGAGGCAAAACATTTGTGGGACAAAGGTTTATTACCCGTTGATGATAACATGTATAGTATTCTCAAGTGGATTGGTCTGCGGTGTATTTCATGTTGGGTAAATTCTCTCTGAGAGCCAAGTGATGCATAGCTATTGATGCATAAATAATTATAATAATAAAAATTTTAAAAATAGTTTTTGTAATTCTGGACCCCACAAGATAATTGATCAGAGGATTCTACAGTTTGAAAAAAAATGTTTAGAAACACTGACCTTTTTTTGGGAAACAGTACTTTATTTTCTGATACTAACCAGCATTCTTTTTCTTCTCTAGCTTTAAAATAACCCATTTATAAAAACATGATATGTTCATATTTAAAAATTCAGGAACATTAAAAAATATGAAAAAAATCACTCATAATCTCACCTCTCAGTCACTGTGTGTAAAAACACTGAATTTTCTATCATTTTGGTACAGCAGGAAGCACTAAGCACTTTTGGGAGAGAGTGTGGTTACTAGGAGTAATATCATTCATCCATCCATCCATCCACCAATTAGTTTATTTAACAGGCTTTATGTCTTAGGGGAGTTTTAGACCTACAGTCAAGCTGAGTGGAAAGTACAGAGGATTCTCATGTACCCCCTGCCCCACACATGCAGAGCCTCCTCCATTATCAGCATCCCCGCCAGTGCGGTACATCGTTACATTATAGTTGACGAAGCTATGTTGACGCATCGTTATCACCCAAAGGCCACGGTTTACATTAGGGTTCCCTCTTGGCACTCAACATCCTTTAGGTTTGGACAAAGGTGTAATGACATGTACACACCTTTACAGCAGCATACAGGGCAGTTTCACGACCCAAAGCATCCTCTAGCACTAAGCCTAAAAATGAATCTAAAAATCCTCTCACAAGATGTCTGCCTAACCTTTTTTAATCCGGCATGAAATCCATTCTCACACTTTTTTCTCCCCATGGAACCTATTAATTTCCCAAGAACTAGTGTTGCAGGGCAGAAGTGATCCAATTTCACTAGCAACATACCTGTAAGTCCTGGTTTAAAGTAGTTTTATCCATCTTTTGCTGTAGAGCTCTGACTTCAAAAGGCGATATTCCTGCCCTAGTCTCCCAATCCAGGGGTTGCTTTCACACAAGAGCTAATAGTGGAAGGGGTCAGTGGGGCATAGGAGGGCAGAGGAAGCTGCTGCCAGATGCAAGTGCAGTGAGAACCCCTCCTCCCAGGCCTCAGTCGCCTTTGATCTGCCCACATCCCCACACATCTGATGTCTCTGAAACCTGCATGCGTCACTCTGTCTCTCTATAATCTGTAATAATGATGAGCCCAGGGGTTGAGGAATTCCTGATTCATCCACCAGTCAACCCCTTATGGCAAGATAAGAAAAGGTCATCTTACCTGGGCAGAAGAACCTTGATCCCAGAGGGACAGGTTTGTAGCTTCTTAGAAAGATGGTTTCAAAGACTCTCTTTGCAAGTCAATCCTATGTAAGACTTCTCCTCTTTCAATTTAAATCCTTTTCTTGTTTTTCTATTCTCAGTGACCAGAGTTATAAATGCTTCCCGTTTAGTATATACCGAATGTCTGCACGCTATGACTGAAACTAATTCACTAAAGGATATAGAAACACAGTATACAGATGTAAATACCAGATACAGTATGTGTGCAAGAGGAGGGTCTGAGGAAGGACATTTAGAAGAAAAATAGGGAGGCAAAGTATTGATGTCACAGGGAAGTCTGGTATTGTCTGTTGAGGATGTTTTGTGGTTTTGTCAACTGTGTTGGGGAGAGATGTTCACCTGTTGAAATATCCATTTTGTAAGACAAATAATAATCTGATTGAATGTATAAAATAAAATGAAAAATTAATTAATAAAAATAATTTAAAAAATAAAAAAATGCTTTCTTGTGCATATGTGTGTGTATGGGGGGAATGGCAAAGGGAAAATTTCAAAAAAGAATGAAAAACATAACCTTGGGCTTCTTGAAGGGTCTGCTGCTCACCCAGCCATACTGACATTGCCCTCCTCTCGCCAGAGGAAATGGACTGCAGCCCGTCCTCTGAGGCAGCATAGGGAGCCCACCCTCTTCCCCACCCAGGACACCCCAGACTCCTCTATCTGTTCATCTGTGTCTGGCCCCACCCCCGCCACTCACCAATGCCCCCACAATTTTGTTCCCCCAGGGGTAAACACTCTGGCTGTTGTTATGCTCTGTGATTGGCTCAGTGGAATCTCCGTCAGCCAGTTACCCTCAGGTACCATCTGGCTACCCCATGAAAGCCCAAGGGGAACCCCAGGCTCCAGGGTGTAAGTACAGTACAATGAGATTTGTCCTAATTGTTTCACCATCATGAATGTCGCAGGTGGCAAGGCCTGGGCTGAACACAGACTGGGGAGCAGGGGAGAGGAGCGTTAGTCCAGCGGGGCCTGTCAATCTAATGGGGAAAATGGAACACTGACCCAAGACTTGGACAGACTAAGAAGTAAGGGCAGTGAAATAGAACCCCACTTGGATGCTGGAGGAACTGGAGGCCTATTCCTAAGAGCGGACTTGAAGGCAACTTAAGTTAGAGAAAGAAATCAGGTTAGTTTGGGGGAAGAGCCTCCTGATCTTACACGGAATGATGTTCTAGGATCTAGTTCTTAATTTCGAACCTGAGTCTTCTTCTCAAGCCCCTTTTGACCTCTTGCTAATAATTGGTCACATTTTGGTGCTGAATCACAGATGCCAGAGTAGCAAATGCTCCTCCTGGTCAGAGGTTTCTGGGATTGAATGAGTGAGCCTTTTCTGCTATCAAAAGAAAAATAAAAAGCACCCCCAAAACATAGGAAAGACAGTCTTCCAAGTCTTGCCTCAAGCCTGGCTGTGCCATCTTCCCAGGCCTTCCTCCTCCTTCCCCAGCTGGTAATCCCCTATCCTTAACCCAGAAATGCTTTCTGGAGAAACCTTTTAGCTCTTGCCTAAAGTTACTCCCCAGCACTTGTGACCAGAGCTGTCAGTGGCCTTAGGTCACTGTGTCCTGCCTCCCACCTCCCCCTTCCGCAGACTGAGACTCAGGTCACTGCAGATGGGCTGAAGCCTGTTCTCTTTGAATTTCGATGACCCTCAGCACAGAGCTGTTGTCACTCAGCAACCTAGGGAGGCAGGAGGGACATAGGTCGAGGCTATTCTCTGGAATATTCTTGGCTCTACTCTTGGCCTCCTGAAGCAGAGCCAGCCTGGACATCTGTTCACGAACTGCCCCCACCCTCACCCACACCATAAACACCGGAGAGGCCAGACCCACCAGAGATCTTGGCGGTGCTAACCCCTAATTGGAGGGCGACAAGCAGAGATAAGGTAGCCAAATGACTACAACGCAGGCAGAAGTAAAGCAAATGCAGGGCTATGGGCCATTTTATAAGGGATTTCACGGGGAGTTCAGGGTGGACCAGATAAGAATCTTGGGAGAGTGGACGGTAATTTCCTAAATGAAGAACCCAAGAGGTCCAAGTGACCTAAGAGATATTCCTGAACTACAAATTAGGCTGACTGGAGTCCCAGCCCCGGGCCCCAGCTATTTAAGGGGCGAACCAGGGCGGAGGGTGCAAGTAGCCCTCTCCTGCCTCCCCACACCGCCCAGCAGCCGTCTTCATCCTCGCCAACCATGAGCCGCCAGCTGACCCACTACCAGGGCGGGGAGCGTCGGGGCTTCAGCGGCTGCTCGGCCATTATCTCGGGCCGGCTCTGCAGCAGCTCTGCCAGTGGGCGGGCAGGGAGCTATGGGTTTGGCCGGGGCCGGGCCAGTGGCTTTGCTGGCAGCATGTTTGGCAGTGTGGCCCTGGGGCCTGTGTGTCCAACCGTGTGCCCACCCGGGGGCATCCACCAGGTTACCATCAATGAGAGCCTCCTGGCGCCTCTCAACGTGGAGCTGGACCCTGAGATCCAACGAGTGCGAGCCCAGGAGCGCGAGCAGATCAAGGCGCTGAACAATAAGTTCGCCTCCTTCATCGACAAGGTGGGTGCTCTGGCATCTGCCCGCTGGTGCGTGGGCGCCCAGTGCACACAGTGGTGCCTGACTGCGGCTGAGGGACTGCGGGGAGGCGGGCGAGTCTCCTTCCTCGTCCGGAGCATCCCGTGGGCTAGGGTGAGGATTAATTAGGATGCTTACGAAGTGCTCAGAGCAACGCTGTTCACACACTCCCTGTAAACCAGAGCTTCCTTCCTTGTGCGCGACAAGACCCTGGGAAGGGAGTGGCTGCCCCAGTGGCAAGGGCCTGTGGAATGAGCCCTTTGAGGGCTCCCGATATCTGGCCTGGAAATGGGGACACACAGCCAGGACGGGGGCACTAGAAGGACAAGGGCAGGGAATGTCAAAGAACATGGTCCTTGGTGAGTTGGGAGGACTCTAAAGGTAGGAAGCAGGGTGTATGTGTAAGCCAGGAAGGCTTCTGGAGGAGGTGAGAGAAACAGGCTAGACAAGTGGTGTGGGGCTGTGGAGGACTGGAAAGACCTACACATCAAGTTTCATGTGTGTGTGTTGGAAGAGCGTGCCCAGAAATTCGGATAACAGGGAAGGTGTGTTTGGGGTAATAGAAGCAGTGATCCCAGCGAGTGGAGAGCAGTCAGGGAATGGACTTCTCTTGTCTCCACCGCGTGCAGATCGTAGGTGATAAGGGGACATCACACAGCAATGGCTGACATTTATGGAGACATTACTGTCCTAAGTGACTCATTTGTCAATGAGCAGCCCATGATCGCATTATTATTCTGTCTTGTGGATGAGGTAGGCTAAGAAATGAACCCAAGTTGACTACAGCCAGTGGCGCACAGGCTGTCTCACCACTTAAGCTAAGGCAGAGTGAGGTGGGAAGGGCGCGCATGCATGGGAGGAAGGTGGCGTGGTGACCAACCCAGAGATCAGAGATCATCCTCTTCCTTCCTAAGCTGTTGCTCCTAGCACGATTCCTGCAGTTGCTAAAGCTGAGATAGGTGAGGAGGGGGATGCTGATGAGTAGCAGAGGTCCTGGACTTATTTAGTCCAAATATTGAAGCCTTTGATCAAGTATGAAAGTTTGTAAAAATGTGATAACCAGCTTTGAACAAAGAACATGAGAGCAGTTTAGGTTACACAAAAGAAAGCGTCTTCTAACACCAGAGTGACCTTCCAGGGCCATGCCCTAGCCACTGCTTCTCTCTTGCTCCCCGTGCCCCTTTACTCAGAAAACACCAGCATGCACAGCCAGAGAAGCTAGCTTGGTCGCATGCAAACTCACGCAACAGAGGCAGATGGTGCCGTGACTTAAGCCCACTTTCTGCTTTCCTTTATTAATAGATTGGATCTGGTTCCTTGTCTTGGAGACCTAGAAGGACATGTCCACTTGGCTAAATCCACCCGACTAAATCCACCCTCAGATGAGCCATGCCCTTTCCTGCCCCTGCCCCCTCAGGATGGGTGCCTCTTTTTCTGGGGCCCTCTTCACACTCTTGAGAGGCAACAGCATATTGTAGGCATTGACACCTTTGGGTTCCAGGTGCGGTTCCTGGAGCAGCAGAACCAGGTGCTAGAGACCAAATGGAACCTGCTGCAGCAGCTGGACCTGAATAACTCCAGGAACAGCCTGGAGCACGTTTATGAGAGCTATGCCAGCAGCCTGCGGAAGACGCTGGAGACCCTGTCTGGGGACAGGGTAAGGTTGGACTCGGAGCTGAGGAGCATGCAGGACCTGGTGGAGGACTACAAGAAGAGGTGAGTGGGAGGCAGAGACCATACCACTAGGAAGACTCAGAGTACATGAGGTTTCAGTTTGGAGCCAGCATGTTTGCCGCCTTAGGTCCTTTGCTGATGCCCTTGCTATTTCCTTTTCCACAGGGGAAGGAGGGACATCCAGACAGATTGGGACTTAAGAATAGACTGTATTGGGCCGGCAGTTGGCGTGGTGGTTAAGGGCACTGGACTCCCACATAGTCAACCATGGTTTGAGTCCCAGACCTGGCAGCTTTCTTTCTCACTTTCTCTCTCTCTCTTGCTCTGTCTCTCTCTAGTCAAATTAAAAGAAAGAAAGAAAGAAAGAAAGAAAGAAAGATAGATAGATAGAAAGAAAGAAAGAAAGAGAGAGAAAAGCATGGATCAACGCAACACGGTGCTCTGAATTGCCTAGGAAATGTGTCTTGAATAGCTAGTGTTGGAAATGGAGGAACGAGGGGAAGAGAATTCTCTCAAAACTAACTGGAAAACTTGAATGGCTGTGTAGTTCCCCCTAAGTGAGATTTTCCATGATAGTTTCCAGGACGTGAGACACACAACTAATCCCAGAAAAAAATGTAAAGGTAAGCAAAAATGGATTTTTGGAACTTTTTTCATGTTGCAGCTCAGCCGGAAAGCTTAGTTGAGTCCCACCTTATCTTAGAGAGAGATTTTTTTGCTATAGGATACGTGCGTTTGCTGGAGAGAGAGAGAGAGAGACAGAAAGTGAAAAATCATCCCCCCACACACACACCCGGGGGAATGACCACACTGCAATCCCTTCTCCTCATTTTCTCCTCATTTCTCCTCTTGGAATTTTGAGCATACATGCACATGTGCCTGGCGTGTTTTAAGCTATTGGGTCCAGGACTTGAACTATGGTTGATTACGTGGGAGTCCAGCGACTTAACCAATATTCCATCTGCTGGTTCCATTGAGTCCCACCTTCAAAGAGAGTAATCGAGAATGTGTTTGCAAGCAGAGATTGAAGCTCCCTCTGAGTTGAACTAATGTAGTGGTAAACCTAGGCTTGCTGTGACCCGATGTTTTGGGAGTTTACTTCCAAGTGCCAGGATTTCTGGAATAAGTGACTTCTTTCATAGTTCGAGGGAGTGGAAATGCTCAGAGCTGAGTTCCCTCGCTTCCTGTCCAGTCTGCCTGTCCATCCTTCTTCTTAAGTCCCCTCAGAACAGAACCCTGATCTGAGCCCTGCGTGGTGATCTAGTTGGGGGAGGAAGATGTGGTCTTTGAACTCAGAGAGAACATGGATTTGGGGACAGGCTTAAAGAACACTTTTCAGGTAGCCACAGATAAGTGGAAACAGATAGAGCATGAACTGGGATTGAGCGGAATTAAAATGAGAATTGGAACCCAACTGGAGATCTGAGCAGGGTATGGAAAGAAGAGGGGTTGCCAGGCAGAGTCCAGAAGTCCAGGGTGGAGGAATGCAGGGGCTGTGGAAAGGTCTGGTGTGCTGGGATTAGCACTCACTAGTTGAGTGGCATAGGTGAGTCTCTTGTTCTCCTGTAAACGTCAGTTTTAATATTTATGAAATAAAATACTGATATTGCCTTGTATCTGAAAGAGTTATTGAGAGTGTTAATACCAGATGGTAATATATTAACAGCTCTTAGAAGAACCAAATGCTTCACAAATGTAAGGCATTCTTAGAATTTTAAAAATCCTAGACCCATTATTCATTAGCATTATGACCATGGTCAAGTATTTTAATCTCTTTTCCCTCATTTGTAAAATTGGGATAATAATAGGACCTACCTCATAGGTCTGTTATAAGGGTTAAATGAAATCATGTATAAGAAGAGTTAAAGACATGTAGTAAGGCTATAATAAATATTAGCTGCATTTATCATTATTATAGTTATTTATTGTCATTAGTAATATAATTTAAAGTTTATCACTAATCTCTCCCAAGGGTGTATGGTCCTCATGCCACTTTTTTTATACCTCTCCTATGATAAATCCTAAGAGATTCTAATAATAAATTATTCTTGCATTAGAATTTTCTATGTGTTTACCTTCCTGTTAAATTGAATTTCTGGAGAATAGGCAGTATGTATACCTTAAGCATCATCTTATACTCTGTGGCAGTGGTCTTTAAGATTTTTCTCAAGACTCTCTAAGATAATTTTTAAAATTCTTCACAATTAAAAAAAAACCTCACAAATTAAAAAATAATTAACGGGACCAGCAGTTGGCGTAATGGCTATGTCACTGGACTCCCATGTAGCCGACTGCGGTTCGAGTACTGGACCTGGTGGCTTAAACTCACGCTGGGCGCATGTGCATGTGTGCCCAAGATCTCGAGAGGAGAATGGAGGAGAAGGGGTTGTGGTGTGACCACCGACCCCCCCCCCCGGGGGGGGGGGGTGATTTCTTGCTTTCTGTCTCTCTGTCTCTCTCTGTCTTTCTGGCAAGTGCACACACCTTATAGCAAAAACCTCTTCAAAAAAAATTTTTTTAACTAAAAGTTATCATAAAAGTAAGTAGTAGCAAAACATATAATTTCATGCTTGCTATATATATTACCACTAAAACTATAATGACTGTATTAGTCACTTAAATATATACAATTGTGTCTAGGTGCCATGGCAGTTCAATACCTACCATCCTTCATCTAAAAGGTTAATAAACAAGCTCTGCTCTAAAAATCATAAATTTTACCTTGATCTTTTTATCATTTTAAGTCCTATTTTCATACTGCTTTCCCCACACAGTTCTATTCCAATGTAATATATTGGGTTGTTGGAAAAGGTATGGCTCATTTTTGCATAGAAAAACATACAAAAATACCTTTTTCAACAACCCAATATTTACATGCATCTCGTCTTTTATTGACTGTGCTAGCTACCACCAAATATGCAAATAAGCATGTAGCTTGAAATTTTAGAAAGTTTACTTCTTATGATCAAAGTTTTTAAGTGTTCAAAAATTTATTCTGGATTGACTTTTTCGAACGACAAAATGTGTTACTAGTTTTGTTAAATAAGTATTAAACATAAAAAGTAAAAGCTAATTTTGAAAATACATCTCTTAATGAGGTGAATGAGGCAGATTTTTTTCCAGCTGGCTTAGTTATCCATGCGTTTACATTGATTCTTGTTAAAAGGAGACAGGATTCTAGTCCTATGGGATTTGTTTTGTTTCTTATCTAGGTATTGGGAAACTTTATTCATATAAGTAGGTTTTGATGGCGGGAGTTTTCTAAGAGTAGTTACTTGGTTCTCGAAACGCCTTTCCAGTGTTTTTGTTTTCTCTTTCTTCCGCAGCACTTACCGTTTTCTAACATACTATCTAATTGCTTATCTGTTGTACTTATTGTTTGTCTTTCTCTCTGTGCTCCTTTAGGGCAGGGATATTTGTTCTGTTCACTTACTTTCCCTAAGTGCCTATGCAGGGCCCCACACTCAACGTCCATTTCTTTGATGAATGATTACTTGTCAAAGTCATTTAATGATTCAGGATTAAGGGTCATTTTTAAACAATCTACTCGCTGACTATTCAGGTCCTTTCTTTTCTTTTCTTTTCTTTTCTTTTCTTTTCTTTTCTTTTCTTTTCTTTTCTTTTCTTTTCTTTTCTTTTCTTTTCTTTTCTTTTCTTTTCTTTTCTTTTCTTTTCTTTTCTTTTCTTTTCTTTTCTTTTCTTTTCTTTTCTTTTCTTTTCTTTTCTTTTCTTTTCTTTTCTTTTCTTTTCTTTTCTTTTCTTTTCTTTTCTTTTCTTTTCTTTTCTTTTCTTTCTTTTCCTTTCATCTTTCCTTTCCTTTCCTTTCCTTTCCTTTCCTTTTCTTTTCTCTTTTCTTTTTTTTTTAAACAAAAATTGAAAATCACCTGACTTGCCAAAAGGACTTGTTTCCTAGTTGATAAATTCATTTTCCTTCCAATTTTCTGTAAAAAATTTCCAAGTAGCTTTAACAAGAGTGATCACATGGCCACTGCTTATACAATTTATTCTGTTCCTTAGGGGCACCCTGTTTAACCAGTAGATCAGAAAGGACTGGGAACACAAAAATATTCTTAGTATCCACTTGGATAATTCTCTCTCTCTCTTTTTTTAATGATGTAATTCTATTTGGTGCTTTTATATATGAATCCACACACACACACACAAGCACACATGCATGTATTTTTGAAACTTTGGACTTAGTTTTTTCTATTTATCCAAAATATCTGCCGTATAGCTTCCTTGGCAAAGTCAGTTTTCATCCTTAAACCAGAGTAATAAGAGTTGCTTTTGTCAGAAAAAAGTCTGACTTCATTTCTAAATTCAAATAAAAATGCAAATATGTGCTTTGGAGACCATTATAAAGTCTATTAAGTAATAAACTAAGGAATCTGTCTAGTGCATTTGATTACTGAAAGCATTCAAGATTAAAATGGTGTAGATTTAATAATAGATTCTCGATTCTTATTAAAAGGAGACAGGATTCTAGTCCTGGGGGAATGTATAATCAATACATCTATTTATGCTATAACTGTGTATAATTTAGTATATTCTTCCTCATAGTTATATCTGAGTATCAGAAAGCATTCCAATCGCACTTTAAATAATCCACTTCATTACCTGTACAGCTTCTGTTTCAGCCGTTTATCAATGCTTTTTGGGGGAGGGAGCTTGCCAGTGGTCTACCGTTGACATGCTTTTAAAACAAGTAAAGAGATGGGACCAGCAGTTAGCGTAAGGGCTATGTCGCTGGACTCCTATGAAGTTGACCGCAGTTCGAGTCCTGGACCTGGTGGCTTGAACTCATGCCAGGCGTGTGTGCCCAGGATTCTGAGAGGAGAATAGAGGTGAAGGAATTGCAGCGTGGCCATCCCCCCTGGTGGGCGATTTCTCGCTTTCTGTCTCTCTGTCTCTCTCTGTGTTTCTGGTGAGTGCACAAGCCCTATAGCAAAAACTTCTCAAAAACAAAAAAACCAAAAACCAAAAAACAAAACCAAAATAGTAAAGAGCTGTAAAGAATTGGTTATGTTTATGTATATGAAAGTATTTTCTAGCACTGATTTTTAAAAATTTTGATAAATATATATAATATAAAATAAAACAAAAAAACCAAAAACCAAAAAACAAAACCAAAATAGTAAAGAGCTGTAAAGAATTGGTTATGTTTATGTATATGAAAGTATTTTCTAGCACTGATTTTTAAAAATTTTGATAAATATATATAATATAAAATTTTAAATGGTAGATAGTAAATTCATAATGTTGTACAGAAGCACCACCATCCATCTCCAGGACTCTTCCACTGGAGCTCTCTACCCATTAAACAATAATCCCCACTTCCTCCAGCCCCTGGCAACCGCCATTCCACTTTCTGTCTATGAAATTGACAGCATAGGGTAGAATCATGAGTAGAATCATTCAGTATTTGTCTTTTTGTGACTGGCTTATTGCATGTAATATAATGTCTTCAAGGTTCATCCATGTTATATCATATTATAGAATTTTTCTTTTTAAGGCTGAATAATATTTCATTATATATATATATCTATATAGATATAGATATATATATATACACACACACATTGCTTATCCACTTAGCATTAATTATTTCTTACTTATGTACAAGTTCATTTGCTTTCACAAATGTCTTATATCGTCAAATATTCTTTGACAACATTAAGGGATGGAAGACGTGAGCTCTTTAAACAAAATGATCAATATTATCTTCTAAATCTATAATATCTCTATAGGACCATCTTAGTCCCATTCAAACACTTAAAGTCCTTGGTTCACTTGGAACAGAAGAATATATAAAAAACAGTTTTTAATATAGTTCAATGGTGACTAGTGCTCTTGTTTGGTCCCGGGAGCTTTTTGCATCCTAGGCCACTGCAATACACACACACACACACACACACACAAACACACACATATATATATATATTTTTTTCTTTTTTTTCCCCATAGGGTGCATACACTTACCAGAGAGAGAGAGAGAGAGGGAGAAAGTGAGAAATTATCCCCCGGGGTGATGGCCATACTGCAATCCCTTCTCCTCCACTCTTCTCCTGGGATTTTGGGCACATACACGCATGTGAACATGATTTTCAAGCCTCTGAGTCTGAGACTTGAACTGCAGTCAGCCATGAGGGAGTCCAGCACCTTAGCTACCATGCCACCTCCTGATCCCTCATTGCACCATATTAAGGTGCCACACAGCAGAGAGGTGCACCTTTCTGCTCTCATATGGGTGAGGCTGATTATGAGAGGGAGGTAGGACAGTAGACTCTGCATGACATCCCCATGGGTGCTTTCTCAGACAGGTACATAATTGCCTATGAATGGAGGGTCTGGAAATTGATTCCTTTAAGCTTGTCTGCCTATATCTCCACTAGGAAATCAATGTGTGCCCCAGAGGTACATCCATGAACCCTGATTGAAGACCAACACCCTGCAGCTCTTGGCAGAGAAGTGATCACTTAGTACTTAGTGAGCATTTGTGGAACCGAATGGCAATTTCTGTCTTCTCTCTCTCTCCCCATGCAGATATGAGGTGGAGATTAATAGACGCACAGCTGCTGAGAATGAGTTCGTGGTGCTCAAGAAGGTAATGGGCGCAGGAAGGGTTAGAAGAAGCCTAGAGGGCTTCCTCATCACCTGTCTGCAGGGTAAGATGTGGGACCCTATGGGTCACTCAGACCCTTGGGCAGGGGCAACTGAGATTCTAACTTCCCATCTCCTGCCTTCAAGTCTCTTTCCTGAGATGCATGCTGCTCCCAGAACCTGGCAGCTCAAAATCTGAGCATTGTGCTGCCCTGCTGGTGTAGTCGTCACACTGCAAAGTAGTTGATTTGCTCTCAGGGACTGAACCCTCCCATGAAGTCTGGGGAGCCAAGGCCTTCTGTGGTAGACAGAGGGAAGGGAAGGTGGTGCGCCCCTCTCCGGATAGCCTGACCATCATGTGTTCCCCAGGACGTGGATGCCGCTTACATGAACAAGGTTGAGCTCCAGGCCAAAGTGGACTCCTTGACAGACGAGATCAAATTCTTCAAGTGCCTCTATGAAGGGGTAAGGACTTGGCAGACCATTCTGGTGCACTCTGCTCCTCCTACAGGTGGCTTCTGGCCCTCAGCTTGGAAGGCTGTGTGTTAAAGGCTGGGAGAGAGAAGCCTTTCAACTCAGTGCAGTGGCATTCACGGAGGCCCTACCAGGTGCTGAGAGATGAGTGAGGCATTGAGACCTCGATGGAGAAGAAATGATTCCTCTCCTCCTGACGGATGAATGCATGTAGATGAGCTTTGGGAGCGTGGAGGAAGATAGTGAACTGTGCCTGGGCAGCAGGGAAGGTTCCTGTTGAAAGAGGAGGTAGAGGAAGAAGATTTCAGTGGGTGCTGGGAGGCATGGTGCTCCAGCCTGAAGGAGTGGAATAAGTAAAGATTCTGAAGCCTACAGTGTGCGAAAGCATGAGGGATGTGGATAGACTCAGGCCTGGAGAAGAGAGAGATGGCTGGTGATTCCTGCGAGGCTTCTGTGTACTGGGTGGAACTCTAACCTCATTCTATGAGTGAAGAGCAGCCTTTGGCGGGTTTTGTTTTGTTTTTGTTTCTCCTTCAGTACCAGAGGTGGTGTGTGCATGCACTTGAGAGTGAGCGAGTGAAGATGTGGTCATACTGCAACCCTTTTTCAACCCACTGGGGTTGGGACTCAAACCCTAGCTGGCCACGTGGAATTTGGCTTCCTCTGCACAGTGCTTAACAGTTGCACTGTAGGCCAGCCCTACTGGTAGGGCTAGGGTGGATCTTGAGGAAGAACATGTAGAAGAGGCTAGGAGTGGTTCTGAGTGCACGAGGGCAGGCAGCCCCACCGTGAGGGCCAAAAGCCCAGGCACTCAGCCTCATGCAGATGTTCTCATGGCTGCTGAGGCAGATTGGGAAGGAGTAAGGTGGAGGTTGCCTGGGGAGGATTAGAAATGGTTCTACCATGAGTACTCCCTCACTGGCTCCTTCTCCCAACTACCCCCAGGAGATTACTCAGATCCAGTCCCACATCAGTGACACATCCGTCATCCTATCCATGGACAACAACCGAGATCTAGACCTGGACAGCATCATTGCTGAGGTCCGTGCCCAGTACGAGGAGATCGCTTTGAAGAGTAAGGCCGAGGCAGAGGCTCTGTATCAAACCAAGGTGAGCTAGATGCCAAGTGTGTCACAGCCCAATGACCACTCTGATGCCCTCTCATCATACATGCACACGTGAGCATGCTTGTGTGTATGTGTGTGTAAATTTGGGCACAGCAGAGACCTCTTCTGTCTTGGAGGTGGCCTTGTGGAAGTCCAGCATGGGCCAGGGAGAGTGACCACAGTGTCAGCATGCCCCTCCATCCTCCTGCAAGTACCCACACGGCTTGAATAATGAGAACAGCATGTGGTCACCCTCCCTGTGACGCGCACACTTAAGTAGGAGAATTCTCAGTTGTCCTGTGCTTCTCTTCTCTTGTCACCCAACCTTAGATCCAGGAGCTACAGGTCACGGCAGGCCAGCATGGGGATGACCTCAAACTCACCAAGGCTGAGATCTCGGAGCTCAACCGGCTGATCCAGAGGATCCGCTCGGAGATAGGGAATGTGAAGAAGCAGGTGGGTTCTGTGACATGAAGTCGGCTAATGGGGTTTATTTAGCACCAATCTGGTCAAGAAGAAATAAGAAAAGCAGGTATGCCATGGTCAGAGGACAGTTTGACTAAATTCATGAGAGAGAGCTCCTGGCCCTGCCTTTGAGTGGTGAGACCTCTCCACTCCCAAGGATGGGACATGAGCATGGCTTTCTGTGGTCTAGCAACTGGAGCCTAGGCATCCGTGTGGCTGTGAGCCATTCACCAAAGTACTTTAGATCTTAGCACTGTCTTGTGGGGGCTGGTCTTGTGGAGGCTGGGGATGGCACCAGCTGGCTGTATCCCAGAATTCCATTTGGCCTTGGGATCAGCTGCTTTCCTTGGTGTGAATCAAACTTGACTCTGCAGAGAGGGAACACCCCAGAAGGAGAAGCCTGGTACTCAGCTCCCACCAAAACCAGCTGAGTGACTAGAGGTCACAGCCAGTCTAAAGGCTCAGGGAGCTTTCACAGAGTCCCAGCTGCAGATTCCTCCTGCAAGTGGTACTTTCCACTGACAGCAGGTGTTTGTAAGCTGGCAAAACCTGTTTGCTGTGCAAAAATCGCCTTTCCACGCAGTTGTCTTTTAGAATGATTCTCTGTGGGATTATGAGGTAGGCTCTAAGTATGGCAGGTTTATTGGACAGATATTTTTACTAATAGGAACTTTTTTAGCCTCCCCTTTTTTTTTTTCCTGAACCATGTATAGCATCTCCTAAGACAACCTATACCCTGCAGAACTGAATTAAGTCTAGCTACCCAGGGACGTTTTTCAGGGATGACATGAAATGTTGCAGATGTGATTTCAGACCTGGAGGGAGAGGGCCAGGGCCCAGGTAGCCCTTCCCCTCTTCTCTCACAGGTGAAGACTTCCTGCCTTTAGAGGCTGAGGCATGAGCCAGACGAACTACGTCTGGGGTCAGGGGAAGGAGCGCTCACCTCTCGTGATGTCTGAAGTTGGATACACCATGAGGGGCTCTAAGCATTTACTGTCAGTCAGTACCAGAGGAGGGGAGGCAGTCTGAGCGGGATCCCAGACCTGGGTTCTGACTCAAAGTGCTGAATCCATTTACCGCTCAGTGCTCCAACCTGGAGATGGCCATTGCTGATGCTGAGCAGCGGGGGGACTGTGCCCTCAAGGATGCCCGGGCCAAGCTGGATGAGCTGGAGGGTGCCCTGCACCAGGCCAAGGAGGAGCTGGCCCGGATGCTACGCGAGTACCAGGAGCTTCTGAGCGTGAAGCTGTCCCTGGACATTGAGATCGTCACCTACCGCAAGCTGCTGGAGGGCGAGGAGTGCAGGTGGGGCCAGATGCCTTCTGTCTGGGATGGTTTTCTCTCTGCTTTAACACAAAACCCAAAGGCCATCAGTCTGGTTCTTTTTGGGTCTGATCGAAGTCAAACCATATAGCAATTGGGCTGGCCATGTGCCAGGGAGGGCTGACACTAGCTAGCAAGAAGAACTGAACAGTAAAAATCTCAGAGAGGTTGTAGGACGTGCTCGTGTCAGCAGTGTTTGAGAAACAGCATCCCCTGGCCCTTCATGGTCCATTCTGGTGGGTGGATGGGGAAGGGGCAAATGGCTTCCAAGAGTTTTACAAGTTCAAGGTCACTCTGTCAAAGCTGGGCTCAGTGAGGACATGAGCCACTCCTCTTACTTGTGTAAGACCCATAGCATAACTCGAAGGAAGTGGAGGCATAACTATCGCCCACGACAGATAATCCCCAAACCTCTTTGATGGAGGGCTGACTCTTTACGGCAGATTTTTCATCTCAGCTCTGGGATGTGTGGAAAGAAAGGCGACTAGGAGAGGGGTGGAGGTGCTTATTCTCAGAGATGAACTGAGGGTTGAATCCGGTTCACCTGTTTTTCTTTTTCTTAAGGATGTCTGGTGAATATCCAAATTCCGTGAGCATCTGTAAGTACCTGTAGATCTCAGTTTTGCCCTTGGTCACCTTACCACAATTCTAAGTCCCTCTAATTCCATGACACAAAAGAGAAATTCAAATCACAGAGAGGGCTCTTGGGAGAGACTTAAGAACAGAAAAGGGGGGCCAGACTTAATGACCAAGGAGAAGCTGTATGGAAAAAAATAATACCATGAAATGCAAAAGTACAGCCCGTAGAAAGACCCAATAACATCCAGTAGTGCCTAATCCAGCGGTCTGTTGTAAGAATGATGATTAGTAGCTTCATTCTTTTTCTGTTGAGGCCAGACTAACATAAGGGTCCTGGGTTGCAGTAAGAGGGATTGAGGGGGACCAGAAAGGCTGAATGATGAAAAAAGACTGCTGAAATAACCTCTAGGTTTGCAAGGTGGAGAGCGTGCAGGGGAGGTGCTGTGTCAGAGAGGCGGGATACTCCCAGCAGCCTTAGCTCATCAGGAGCATCCGAAGGCCTCCATGACAGGCCTCTTTTCTTGGAGATTTCACAGAAGGCGTCCTGTGTGCTAGGGGTTTAATGTCTGCTATTGACAGAGTGACACAGGCTACCAGGAAAAGTCAATATATGGGGCTCAGTATGTGAAAGATGAAGCTGCTCATGATCAAGGCTGTTACAAATCTCTTAGCGGGACCAGCAAATGGCGTAATGGTTATGTCTCTGGATTCCCATGTAGTTGACTGCAGCTCAAGTCCTGGACTCAGTGACTTAAAACTCACGCCAGGCATGTGTGAGTATATGCCCAAAATCCTGAGAGGAAAGTGGAGGAGAAGGGATTGTAGTGTGGCCATCCCCCCTGGGGGTTGGTGATTTCTCTCTTTCTGTCTCTGTCTCTCCTGTGAGCACATGTGCCCTATAGCAAAAATCCTCTCTCTAAAAACAAACAAACAACAAAAAAACCCAAAACAAAACAACAACTTAGTAAACTAAACATCCATGACAGAGAATCTGTCTCCTCATGAGGCCACCATGGGGAGAGAGCTCAGGGAGTGGCCGTGTGCCCCAGGAGGGTTCCTGCTGCAGCAGGTTGTGTGGCTGAGCGGGCTGGGGTCTCCTCTCACTGTTCCAGCCGTCATCAGCAGCACCAACGCTGGGGCAGGAGGGACTGGCTTCAGCGTGGGCTTCGGCGCCTCGGGCAGTTACAGCTGCAAACCTGCAGCGGGAGATGTCAAGACCAAAGGCAGCTGTGGCAGTGAGTTCAAGGATCCCCTTAGCAAAGCCTCGGGCAACAGCTGTGCGACCAAAAAGGCCTCCAGATGATGGCCCCACAGTCGCTCTGTGGCCAGAAACCTTCAGAACCCACTCTTCTTCTCCTCCTCCCCCTGATCCTCTTTCCAGGCTGGGAAGTGCTTGGTCCATAACCACCATCTGGGTCCTCTCCCTGTTGTCCTTAGTAGGTGACACTAATGCGAGAAGTCCAGTCACAGGCTTGCATGACCTCCTTCTGGGTCACCCTTCATTGGGTCCGGGCCCCAGATGCAGACATAACACCATGCCCAAGCACTCCCGTGCCTGCTCCAAGCCCCTCTGCCACCATGCCTTTCTTGGGCCTCCGCTGCCAGCAGGTTCTCCCTGTCCTTCAGTTGGAATTGCATCCAGTTCTCTGCTTCTCCAGCAATAAATGATCGACACCATTTGGCTCTCGGTGTGGAATCTGTTGCTCAGGATGTCAACATCTGCAATATCCTAATTCTCCTTGGTCTGCTGCTTGCTTCCCTCCGGGTCCCCAGCCTCACATGGATCTGGGTTGTCCAGCTCTAGTCGGTAGGCATTGGGGATAGCTGATCCTGGTGAGCAGCTGGGATTTACTTCCAAGCTGAAGTGCCACCTTTCATGTTCGTGTGGGCTCTGTTCTCTGCCCATGGAACCCATCAAGTCAGTCACCAAGCACTGAGTGAGAAGGAACTCGAGAGCCGCTGACTCGACAGCTCCCTCGTGTGTCCAGTCTGTGGTGGACAGCTGTGGCCCACATGGCTGAGCGAACCTCTCAAGTTCAGCACACTGGTGAGCAGCAGGGTCCTGGCTGGAGGCCTGCACACCCACCCACAGGCCATCCCTGAGCCTGCGTTGCAGCCGGTGCCTTACTTTCCTGGTGTCACGTCAGCTGCGAGCACGTCTGTCCCTCATCTGCCCCTCACATCCCTGTTCTGGGGGTCTCAAGTGTGGCTCAGAGTCAGTAGTCGATGTATATTTGCTCCAGGAAGGCATAGCTTAGTTTAGCTCATGTTCACTGGGAAAAACACTTGTGAGCTCTGTACACACATGTGTGTCTAGGTGTCCTGGCATGTAAATGATGCAACACGTTTGTATCAATAATTATGTTTTGTATGTATTCATGCAGAATGCATTTTATATAATCAAGCAAATGGTCCCCCTGGGTCTAGCATTCTAGTTAAACAGTACCTGGCTCAATTCTGGCTCTTCCAATTGCTGGTTGTGGTCCAGTGCAAGAGCCTGCTCTTATAAAGTGGGATCAATACAATCTGGCCTTTATCAAATGCCTTTTACACACCAGGAACTGTTCTCAGCACTAACTTATAGTGAGGGGCCGAGGGCACTGGAACACAGTCCCATTCAGGTCACCAGCTGCTCATTTCCAAGCAGGAGAGAAACTACAAGAACTCCTCAGTGTGCCTATTTTGTGCACACACTGCCCTCTGCCATCAACCCTAGGTACTGCACCTTCCAGCCCTGTGGGCCAGGAGGAAAGACTTCCCACAGGGGAGAGTGTGGGATGATCCTGGGTGGGCTGTGTCCACCGCAGAGCTACCAGCGGATGCTCTTTCACTCCCTGGTGTGTCCAGGCAGGTCTGGCCTCTGTGTTGCCCAGGCCCTGGCTCCTGTCTCCCCTCGGACTCCTCTCTGACTTCTCCTCTCATAGAAGGGAGGACGGGTTGTGAGGTTGTCAGGGTTGCTACTGCCTCAACCTCCTCACCTGTGGTTAGAGAATCTTGGGATTTCAGACAGCTCTTCTTAAACCAGTGCCTGGTCCAGAGGTCCTGGGAATGAGAGTTCCCATCACTCGCCAACACCCCCTCTGACAAGCCCTGCCCTGGCTGCAAGGGGAGCCCTCAGAGAACTCTTTCTCTTTCACGCAGTAAATAATGCAGGCTTAGAGGCACTGACAAGGCATAGGCAAGGGTCTTCAGAGGAAGGAAGGCATTAGAGGTGATCACAGATGATCTGGGAAGGCTTCCTGGAGGAGGAAATAAAAGAAACATGAACTGTTGGAGATAGCTGCTGCTGCTTCTTCTTCCTTCTTCTTCTCCTTCTCCTTCTTCTTTCTCTTTCTCCTCCTCCTCTTCCTCCTTTTCTTTCTCCTTTTCTTTGAGGTTTTAGCCATAGGGTGTGCGCACTTGCCAGAGAGAGACAGAAAGAGGGAAAGTGGGGGTATAGCATACTGCAATCCCTTTTCCTCCAGTTTCCTCTCGGAAGGGGCACTCATGCACATGTCCTCTGTGTGACTGTCAAGCTGCCAGGTCCAGTACTTGAACCATGTGGGAGTCCAGTGCCTTAACCACTATGCTTCCTGCTGGCCCCTAGAGAGCTTCTTAAAGACTGAGATTTTAGCTGCCCTCTGCCATCTGTCTCTAATGTTCCCTCCAGCTGACACTCTGTCAGCTGTAGGTTACAACTGCCTGAGGACAATTCTTTTCTACTGTCCCTCAGTCCTTCCATTCACATTTGGCAAATGCTGCCAGGATCACTGGAGATGTTGAGGTTCTGTGCTTTCAACAAGGTCTGCAAAGCACCCTCTATCACCTTGCCCCACCCCTCCTCCCTTGGTGGGCTGTCTATACCACGTCCCTGCTTAGTTACAGACTCCTCTTAGGGGACTTATGGTCGAATCCTTCCTTTCTGTTTCCAACCCATCATCCACAGCAGGACTGAGCTATGCCTTTGAGACACAGCTCTTGGGAATTCCAGATCCTTCTTGTTGGGGCTCTAGACACAGTGCTAAGCTCTAGATTAAAGTTGCTCCTAACTCAGAACCTGAAGCATAGCATGGTAGACCCAGGGCTGGAGGGGACCTTAGAAGTCATCAGTGTGTAAGGACGCACTCTTTTGTAGTTGACCAGGTATAGTCAAATAGCGCCAAGTGCATAGCATGACCTAGACACATGATCGCCCCTTAGCGCATCTGACAGGCTCTGCACCTCCTGCTCCCTTGCAGTCCCATCACGTTCCCCTCTGTCCCCACATGCATTCCCAGAAGGTTATTTTCCATGGCTACTGGTTCCTCTGAACCCTCCTGTGGCTCCCTATCATAGGTGCACCCCCACCGTTGCTCCACGTTGCCTTCTACTCCTGCCTTAACGGGAAGGCAGTCCCTGTGCTCACAGATGGCTCACTCTGTGTGTGTCATTCTCCTCCACTCTCTGACCTGCAGGCTCCAGGCTCACCTCACAAAGGCCTCCTGAACCCACATCTTCATGTTACACCTTGTAATCACCATAGAAACCTACTAGCCTCAGTGGGGGCCCATGACGCTGGGGAGATGGGGACATGGTCTCCCGGCATCAATGTCTCCTGCCTCCCTCTTTGTAGGGCAGGATGGGTAGACCTTCTCAGAGGTGCTTGGCCGTGGTCCCAGCTGAGTCTTGGGTGCCGAGGTCAAGCATCTCCCTGGCCCCATACCTCTAATTCATGGCATATTTATACCTCTGAGGGTGGTGCTTAGGGTCCCTCACCCCACGGCAGTGAGGAGGTTCCCGGTATCCAGCAGGTAGCCTGTCTCTCCACCCTGAGGCCGGGGCTTCGTGGAATGTCTTTCATGGGACCCTAGAGGGCCCACTTCAACCCCCTGCTCCAGCTTTAGGGTCCAGCCTCCATTTTCTACATTTTTAGCCACTTTTCTACCTAACCTCTTGTTAATCCAGCCTTTTCCAGCCCCCTTTCCTTCTTTCTTTCTTCCTTCCTTCCTTCCTTCCTTCCTTCCTTCCTTTCTTTCTTTCTTTCTTTCTTTCTTTCTTTCTTTCTTTCTCCCTTTCTTTCTTTCTTTCTTTCTTTCTTTCTTTCTTTCTTTCTTTCTTTCTTTCTTTCTTTCTTTCTTCTTATTTCTTTCTTTCTTCTTTCTTTTTTCTTTCTTTCTCTCTCTCTCTCTTTTTTAATTTTTTAAATTAATTAATTTTTTTATAGATTTTTGCTATGGGCACATGTGCTCGCTGAAAGAGACAGAGAGACAGAAAGTGAGAAATCACCCCCTAGGGGATGGCCACACCACAATCCCTTCTCCTCCACTCTCCTCTAGGAATTTTGGGCACATACATGCTCCCAGCATGAATTTCAAGGCTCTGGGTCCAGGACTCGAATTGTGGTCAGCCATATGGGAGTCCAGTGCCTTAACCACTATGCCACCAGCTGGACTCCCTTTCCAGTTTTTTTTTTTTTTTTTTAATCTTTTTAATGAGAGTGAGAGACATGGAGAAAGAGGAAGACAAGCATCCACATCAGAGTCCCATTCTGTGGTACCGCCACCAGGGTCAAGGGCACAGGACCCCAGGTGTACATGTTGGCAGGGAGTCTGAGCCCGTGATCTCCCATATGGACTCCACTTGGCTCAAACAGACTTTACTGCTGTGCCACTGAGCCAGCCTTATCCCCACGTCCCATTTCTCATAGTTCTTTCCTGAAATGCAGATGCCACCCAGGCCTAGCCCACCACTTCTCATGTCCCTAGGGATGGGGTGGAGATGAGCTTCTCTTCCTGTTTGGACAAGGATGTGGCTGCTCCGATGACAGGCAGTCAGGAGCATGTCATTAGTGATGATGTGGCTTAATTACCACTCACTGCACGGCCTGGCTTGTTTGCTTTGCAAATGGGCAGAGGAAGAGGTAGACCAAGCCTCAAAGATCACAGTCCGATCAAGAGATTAAGGCATTGCCCTCAGCCTTTCTGCTCTCTTCCAATAAAGAACCCGCAATACAGGGGGTCAGGAGTCAAAAAATACCTTCCAAACTTCTTCCAAAAGTGGTCGAGGATGGAGAAGTTCTGAGATAAGAAGACAGATGAAATAATACCTGAGTGGGGGTCTGGTGGTATTTTGAAATGAGCAAAGGGAAGAAAACGTGTCCTCTCCGGAGCAAGACAGCACTTGTCTTGACATACCTGTGTGCGTTCGAGCTGAGAGGCAACCTCCCGGTGGTGACTAGCTGGGTGGTAGGTGGAGCTGCTGTGAGTTCAGAGTGTTTTTCTTTTAAAAAAGAAGAAAGAAAGAGAACTCAAGAGTGCTTAGTCTACAGTACAGGGCTAGGAACTT